TGAGTGAGTGACGAGAGCGACGATGTTCTTCTCCAAGTCTTTTCCAAACAGAGACATCACTGAACTGAAGATGTACATCAGTCGATCACTCACTCGATTCTCTGTCGCCTTCAGCACCAGACCCACTGCACTAACTTCATGAACTCCTTCTTCTGAGCTGAACAAGTCAAATAATCTTTGACTGACGATGAGATCATGTTCAGTCCAAACATATACCTCATGACTGATCTGGTTCTTTCATCCAGTCGACTTCTCATCTCCTCCAGCTTCTGTTTCTTCTCTGTGTCTCCTCTCTCCTTCGTCTTCTCAGTCAGGAAGTCCAAGTGGACCTGAGAGGACACTGAATTTACATTCAGGGCGATCTGCTCCAGCCTGACGACATGTTGGTAGGACTCTTCAAGCAAATTAGTCTTCTCTGTCGTCAGGTCTTTCAATCCCTCTTCTAGAGTTTCCAAGAGGCTCGACTTCCTCTGACTCTCTGACTTATTGGCTTCATACTTGTCTTTCATGTCTTGTAGAGTCCTCTGAACTTTTCTTGTCTTGGTGACATAGATCCACTTTTCTTTCTCATGATCTGATGCAGGACACTTCCTGGTACATGAAGTACAGCGGCCTCCTTTCATCACCTCACAGTCTTTAGGACTCGGGGCAACTGTGCATCCTGGATAGTGACAGTTCTCTTTACAGACATTACAGGTCACAGCTCCTTCATAAAAGGAAATCGACCACAACACCCCCCCACCCCCACCTTTGATATCTTTAGTCTCTTTGTAGACCTCATCCACTTCTACAGTGAAGTCTTTATTCTTCTCCATCTCATGTTCATGTTTCTCCAGAGCTTCTTGAGTCTGTTTGATCTCAGTCTGTTTCAGTTCAATCAAACCAATTCTCTCCTGCAGGTTCTGGATGCAGGCCGTCAGTCTGACGCATGAATTCAACACTTCAACTGTTTTCTCCAGTTTTTGAGGTTTAGTTTTTTCCAAAAACTTCGTAAACTGACTCATTCCTTGCATGGTTACTCTCCAACCATTCTCTAAACCAAACTCTGTTTCCTCTGTTCTCTTCTTTCTGGCAGTTATCAAACAGGAAGTGAACAGGTTGATTCTTCTCATCTCTGGCACATTTAATTTTTGCAGCTTCAAGAGCTTGAAGAACATTTTTTGGTTTTCTTCCAGTTGAGTGAGTGACGAGAGCGACGATGTTCTTCTCCATGTCTTTTCCAAACAGAGACATCACTGAACTGAAGATGTACATCAGTCGATCACTCACTCGATTCTCTGTCGCCTTCAGCACCAGACCCACTGCACTAACTTCATGAACTCCTTCTTCTGAGCGGAACAAGTCAAATAATCTGTGACTGACGATGACATCATGTTCAGTCCCTCTGGTGTCTCCATATCCAGGAGTATCAATGATGGTCAGAGAGTAGGGCAGAGTGTTTTCTTTAAAGTCAAAGATCTCGTACACGATCACATCAGATGTCTGACTTTCTGTCTGACTTCTCTCCTCCTCCTCTTCGATCTCAAACCAGATGTCGTCATCAAACTCTACTCCCATGGCGTAGTTGACCAGAGTGTTGATCAGAGTAGATTTCCCTGTTCCTGTTTCTCCCACAAGTAAGATGGTTTTATTTACCTTGTTCAGATTTCTTTCACCAACAGTCCTTCTGGTCAGAGTACCGATCCTCTCTGTCTTTGGTCTCAGCTGGTATCGAGCAGGAGATCCTGAACTGATCTGAGAACTTTTGGAGATGATGTCCTTGTATTTTGATGAGATGTTACTGATCCTGTGGAGGAAGTAGAATAAAGCTCAATCCACAGAGACAGAGTGAGAGAGACAGAAACAGCTTCATGATGACTGTGATGAAGAGTGTAACTGCACTGCAGACTACAGTCTCTGACAGCCAGGTGAAAGGTGAGCTCGTACTGATTCTATCACTGGATCTGAAGCAGCTTCAGTGTGTTCATGTTTCTGAGGAGCTTGTAGCGTCACTGTCTCTTTCAGTCACAGTGTATTGTTGCTGCCTGTTGTTACTCACGTTGCCATGGTGATTCCTGGTGCAGAGCTCCACACAGTGAAGGTGAATCAGGTGTGATGGTGTCTGAGGTTTGGTCTCTGCATCAGATTAAAAACAACCAATAAAACATTAACAACAGATTCATTCATCAGCAATGAAAGAATATTACACAATAAATGGACTCTACCAACTCACAGTTAAACCTGAAGCTGTTTTCAAACCTGTAGTTGGTCTGATCTCGTCTGAATCACTTCATCAGGAAACTCTTTTCCTCTTAGTTCAGTTACTTTTCTCCAAGACGAAATCCAAGTAAAGCTAAATGTATAAAAGGAAGGTGAGAAAGTTCTCAGTCTGTGTATCGTTGGATGATCCACAATTCATTACTAAGTGAAGGAAGTAAGGAAATCTGTTATTTCTTTCAAATTTGTGTTCAAACCAAAAAAGAAAAAAACAACAATCATCAGTTCTTGGTTGTTGATACTTTTACTTTGTTCACTTTTACATTGAAGAATGAAAAGGTCCGAGTTTGTTTTGTCCTTTGATTTTCTTTCAGAAACAGCTGATCAACAAAGAACAAGTCGTTAATTGACTTGAAATACAAGATGTTTTTCTTCTTCATGGTCAAAAAGCAGATGATTAGAATTTAAAAATTGTTTGATTTTCTTTTTCTTTTTCATACAACAAGAAATAAAATCACTAGAAAACAGAACCAAACTAAAGTCAGTTTTCTCTTGATATTCTGAGGCGGGATGTGATCATTGACAGGACCGGAGCCCCACATGTAGGACTGGCTCTGTGACTGAGGCTTTAGCTCAGGTCCACATGGGTCAGTACATATTAAGCCTTGTGCATATGTTCCTTGTCATTATGAATGATTTCCCACAGGATTACAGCGTTAGTGATTCTGCTCAGTCTCCTAGAATTACAGTTTGTAAAGTGATGGTATAGTTTGTTCTATAGTTCAACTTCCTCTTTAGGACTTGATCCTAAAATAAATCAACAACAGGACAAAACCACATCAGATGAAACATCCATTCATCATCATCCTCATCATCACCATCATCATCATCCTCATCATCATCCTCATCATCACCATCATCATCATCCTCATCATCATCATCATCATCATCATCATCATCATCATCCTCATCATCACTAAACCTACACGTCAGTTTGTTCTAGGACAAAAATAAACAGCATCTTTTTTCATTGGTAAGAATTTATACTTTCTGTATTTATATTATACGTATGGAAACATTAAGGTTGAGTCATAGATAATATTGAATACATCTTTCCATCAAATTACTATATTCATCTTTATTATGTTTTCCCACTTATTTAAAGAACTTATTGGCTTTTTAAAGAAAATCTATGAATTTAATTTAGTCAAAAACAAAATCATTACAATTGTGTCTTTGTTCTTAAATAAAAACCTCAAAAGTTTCATGTCTTTCATGTTTTCAGCATTAATAATAAAACAATGAAATAATAATTAAATTGTATGACAACTTTAAATAGAAGAATATAGTTATTAGATAGTTACGTTCAGTTAAGTGAAGTGAATAATTTGCTGTTATATTTTTCATCCCCTATCTTGTGTTAAAGTTTCCCATCATTCCTCTGTCAGAGATCTTACCTGTGCTGTTGGTTCAGGAAGCTCTGTGATGCTGAGGAGGAGGAGGAGGAGGAGGAAGAGCAGAGAGGAGTCAGTGTTCACAGGCTTTATATCATGAGAAGGGGCGGGCTCTCTGTGGTCACATGATTTCACTGAAACTCTCAGTTTACCTGAACAGACTTAACACAAACACCTGATGTCACTGCAGGTAACTAAAGACACGTCAACATCATGAACCTTTGGAGAAGAACAACATCTCTGGAAAGTTTCTGAATTCAGTCAGAGCAGAGTCACAAGTTTGAACCAGAGTGAACTGATGAGGAATCAGGTTGTTCAGACTCTTTGTCTCTGACCTAAGGGACTGACCTCTAAAAGTTGGTGTCAGTAGAACTTCTGAGCAAGAGAAGCCATGTGAGGACATTAAACTACAGTCACAATCATATCATGAAGAGAAGACACCATGTCCTCTCCTGGACTGTCCGGTCAGAGTAACAGTCCAATGCAGCAGCTGCAGCCTCAGTCACTGTGCTTCACCCTGCACATAAAACTGAAAGCATCTTCCTCCAGCTTTATCTGACGGACGACCTCGCCCGTATTATCACTGCAGAAGTCTGTTTCCTCATGTTTGCCTTGATAGAAGTCTCTGAAGGTTTTCTATGCAGAAGAGAATTTAATCAGTGAATATATATAAAGAAATCAACTTTGTTGTCTTCACCTTTTACTTTACTTAACAATGAAACATGACGTCTGTTCAGCAGGTCATTTCCACATTGTTCAGCTGATAGTCTGCTGTGTCAGAGGTCACTGACAATGTTCAGCAAAGCTCATTAAAAATGCATCAACATAAAATATTTTTTCATACTGTTTATCATAGTAACAAGAACAATGGAGGATTTTTACTAAACCTCCTGCAAATGATCAAAAAGGCTGTAAAACTTTATCACCTCATTCAGTTTGATGTATTGAATCACTTTGTTCAGTTTAGCTGGTAGCTGTACCGTTTATTCTGGCACTTTGTTAACAAGTCCTAAACCTGTAAATGTGACTATTGTCAACTTATTATATTTTGAATTTGAGAGAAAAAAAGTTTCTTATTTCCACAGTCACAGATCAACATGATGATCCATGTGTCACCTGATGGATCTCAGTCCAGTGTTCCCTCTCTTTTCGCTCTGTGTTTGGTCTCCACCAGCTTTAGCTGCTAAAAGCTGCTACATTCAGCAGCTGCTCTGGCTGAGTCTGTCTGATGAGCAGGTAGAGGACAGTGGCTGCTGGGAACCAGGTCATCAGGTATCCTGTTAGTTTTTCAGCTCTGATCAACCTTCCATCTTCTACATCTCATGGCCGACAGCAAAACCATTGTGAGGTCATGACAAAACATGACCTTTGACCTTGGAACAAAACACAGTTTTGGCCTTGTGAACACGATATCTCAGTAACACTTTGAAGGAATTTCTTCAAATTTGGTAAAAACGTTCACCTCAACATCCATTCAAGGATGACCTGATTAGAATTTGGGGGTCAAAGGTCACAGTCACGGTGACCTCAGAAAACACCCTTTAGCCATTACTCAAGACTTCACAGCAATTATGACAAACTCTCACACTGGTGGTTCATATTCTCTCTGACTCTGGATGAACAGGATGTAACCTGGGACTAGTCTGAGTGGCGGAGGGATATGACCACGAGGAGGTGATTCTAGTTCTTCATGTAAAGAGAAAACAATCCTGCACTGCGTGACAAACACAGGGTGTGATCACAGGACGACTCAATACAAAGATGTTCTCACTGATGTTGTTCTTCCTATCTACCCATCTCCTGAGCAGCCAGGAAGCTAGATAAGCTGCGTGACTGTTCGTGACAAGAGGAGTTACAGTCCTAAGCCAAAGCCCACGGTTCACCACCAACCTGTTCACGTCTCCCCAGACGTGTTTTGGACACTCGGGTAAAGAGAGGAGCAGAGTTGTCAACCGACCACCACCTGGTGATGAGTTGGATCAGATGGTGGGGGAAGACGCCGCGCAGACCTGGTAGGCCCAAACGGGTTGTGAGGGTCTGCTGGGAAAAGCTGGCGGAAGAACCCGTCAAGATGATTTTCAACGCACACCTCCAGCAGAGTTTCGACCGCGTCCCGAGGGCAGTGGGGGACATTGAGTCCGAATGGGCCTTGTTCCGCTCTGCTATTGTTGAGGCGGCTGTTGCGAGCTGCGGCCGCAAGGTAGCTGGGGCCAGTCGTGGCGGTAACCCCCGTACCCGCTGGTGGACACCAGCGGTGGGGGAAGCCGTCAGGCTGAAGAAGGAGGCCTACAGGGCGTGGTTGGCCTGTGGGTCTCAGGAATCAGCTGACTGGTACTGGCGGGCCAAGCGGAGCGCAGCCGCGGCAGTTGCTGAGGCAAAAACTCGGGACGTGGGAGGAGTTCAGTGAGACAATGGAGGAAGACTATCGATTGGCTCCAAAAAGGTTCTGGCAAACCGTCCGACGCCTCAGGGGGGGAAGGCGGCAACTCGCTCACACTGTGTACAGTGGGGGCGGGGAGCTGCTGACGTCAACTGGGGATATAGTAGGACGGTGGAAGGAATACTTTGAGGAGCTCCTCAATCCCACCAACACGTATTCCGTAGAGGAAACAGAGACAAGAGACCTGGGGATGGATGATCTAATCTCCGGGGCAGAAGTCGCCGACGTAGTGAAACAACTGCGCGGTGGCAGAGCCCCGGGGGTTGATGAGATCCGCCCTGGGTATCTCAAGGCTCTGGATGTTGTAGGGCTGTCTTGGTTGACACGCCTCTGCAACATTGCGTGGACATCGGGGGCAGTGCCTTTGGAGTGGCAAACCGGGGTGGTGGTCCCCATCTTTAAGAAGGGTGACCAGAGGGTGTGTTCCAACTACCGTGGAATTACACTCCTCAGCCTCCCTGGTAAGGTCTATGCCAGGGTACTGGAAAAGAGGGTCCGATCGATAGTTGAACCTCAGATCGAGGAGGAGCAATGTGGTTTTCGTCCTGGGCGTGGAACTGTGGACCAGCTCTTTACCCTCGCTAGGGTGCTGGAGGGAGCATGGGAGTTTGCCAATCCAGTCCACATGTGTTTTGTGGATTTGGAGAAGGCTTACGACCGTGTTCCCAGGGGCTCCCTGTGGGGGGCACTCCGGGAGTATGGGGTGGATGGCCCCTTGTTAGTGGCCATTAAATCCCTGTACCAAAGGAGTGTGAGTCTGGTTCGCGTAGCCGGCAGTAAGTCGGACCTGTTCCCGGTGAGGGTTGGACTCCGCCAGGGCTGCCCTTTGTCACCGGTTCTGTTCATAACTTTTATGGACAGAATTTCTAGGCGCAGCCGGGTGGTGGACGGGTTTGGTTTCGGTGGCGGGAGGATCTCGTCTCTGCTTTTTGCGGATGATGTGGTCCTCCTAGCTTCATCGAACGCCGACCTTCAGCTCTCGCTTGGGCGGTTCGCGGCCGAGTGTGAAACGGCTGGGATGAAAATCAGCACCTCCAAGTCTGAGGCCATGGTTCTCAGCCGGAAACGGGTGGATTGCCCGCTTCAGGTCGGGGGAGAGGCTCTGCCTCAGGTGGAGGAGTTTAAGTATCTCAGGATCTTGTTCACGAGTGGGGGTAGGATGGAGCGGGAGATCGACAGGCGGATTGGGGCGGCGTCAGTAGTGATGCAGGCGCTGAACCGGTCCGTTGTGGGGAAGAGGGAGCTAAGCCGGAAGGCGAAGCTCTCAATTTTCCGGTCGATCTACGTTCCGATCCTCAC